TGCCCGGTGGTTTGTGCCTCGTGGTGGGTGTATTTGTGTCCAGCCCACCCATAAACGTCGACAGAAAATTGCGAGAATCACTCGGACAAGGAAGAGGAGTCTCAAGAGTTACGGAGCGCTCATCTGTCAAGGCTGTTACTTTATACAAGGGAAGACTGCCCCTTATATGCTAATAAAGGACTGGCTTATCTCAAATCTAAAGCCAGTTGAGTAGCACTTGAAATGTTTTAGCTCTATGAAACCTGATGTACTTATATGATTCTGTTTTCTTCAAGTTTGTATTTTGCTGAATGCAATGTAATGTAATAATGACCGTTCTCTGTAAAGTGCAATCTCTGTTTCTCCACCGATGTTTGCTGCCAGTCCTCCGGCAACTAATTTTGATCAGTTACCTGTCCAAATCTCCTTCCTGTCTGTTCAGCGTGTAAACACAGAGGCAGCCTGTAATGATATACAGTAGCAGTCATAATATCTCTCCCACAGCACCCTTTATTTCAGTTTAAAATGAGTGTTTTCTTCCTGGATGGTTATTGTAGAGACTGCTGTGCTGTAAGCAAAAAAAGAATCAAAGTCACGTCGAGTGTGAGGATGAAATCCATACTCTTCACTCGCTTGCATGCAGGGGACGGGGATTCATTTTGCTTTGTTAATCAGTGGGAGTTTGTGTGACAGACAAGTCAACAGGCAACCCTATCAGAGGCCCCAGTTGCCACATGTCATCTTTCAGACTGCAGGAAATAGATGTGCTTCATTTCGCCGCCCATAATATCTGCAGGGGTAACCACTCTAATCCCCTGAGGCCATGTGCTGCTGTATTAAAACTGTCCATCGTCTTCTTGGTCATGTCTCTTGGCTTTTTAGAGCGAGACCCAAGGGAGTTAAAAGTTCTTGTGAACAGCCCACAGTGTCTTGGCTCAAATGCTGAACGCCTGCACGGCAACAGCGGCTGTTTGAGTCAGTGGCCTGCCGGGTAAAGATGCAGAAACTTAGCGAAATCGCGATGACATGACAAGGGATTGAAGTCAAAAATATGTCAGAATAAGACGCTTTTTCCCACTGGGTCTTGGACTTTTGAAGTTCATGTTTGAGGATGAGTATTACATTGATATTGCTGCATCTCTGTATTGGTGACAGATGATTTACTGCAAACGACGGAGGGCATGAAACCGTTTGAGGAGCCTAGGTCTGAGGGATAGAAAATATTAATCTGCGTTACTCACATTTGCCACATCATTTTTGCACAAAGTTTAATTTGCAAAATATCCAGTGATTATGACAGCCATGAGCAGGTCACTCTTCAGAACTAACACACGTTAGAAAGTGAAAATGGTTCTTGTTTCCCTGAGCCATAAAATAATAACACGGGTGAGAGCACATTAACAGTTTACGTGTTACGCGGAGGCAAAGGCTGCGAACATGGTTATGCGCTGAAGAGTTTTAAGGGTGAAAGAGCATTCAGTACACAAACAAAACAGCTCTGGCTCTATATATTCAACTTTAAACAGCAGGGTATAACCAAAATGTTTGCTCATTCACCTCTATTGTTTATTCATGCAGGAGAGCAAGCCACATGGATGTTGAGGGAGCAATAAATAACATCAGGACAAGAAAAAAAGAAAAACATATTGCAGTGCCTTACATTCAGTAGTAAATATGTATTTTTTTGTCTCTGATATTATTCACACATGTAATCTTTTTGATTTCAATCAAACAAACATCATACAAAGCAACCTCAGCCCACCCTTGCATACAGTGATTATTGATTGACTTCAATATTTAGTGAGGAATCCTGATTATATTTGTATCTTTCTCTCATTTTGACATTGTCCTTTGTTGTTATTATTTTTGGTTTCCATACATGTTTTACCAGGGAGTAATGGATAACATCTGATACTCATCGATAACTCTCACAGCTGCCCTAAAAATGTCATCCCAGCACTACCGTGTCTCCCTGAGGCCCAGTTTCCTTCTCCACGCTGCACTAGTGAGAGCCTCGTCTTCGCTGATCCCCCTTTTCTCTCGAGTCTTCCTTGCCATCCTTTTAACTTGTGCTTGGAGCTGAGACCATATAACGCATTTTTTTAATAATAAAAGCACAGCGCACATGATCAGACCGGTCCTTACACAAAGGCTTCAAAATGATGTAACTGAGGTCTTTGACTCGATATGGCCTTTGTTGTTGATGCGAACGCCACAGCTCTTTGTATCTTGTTAGTGATGTATCATACCCTGATAGAAGGCGGGTAGAAGATGCGTTCAAGATTTCAACAGCAGTGAAGCAACTTTGGGGCACGCCCGCAAAGACTCACAGTGATATCCAAACCGAACAGCTGCCTAGACGCATGACAATTTTTTTGCCCACACTGCACCACATCACTCTCTTTCAAAATGACCCGATCATATCAGCCAAGGTCACAACTCTTTGCAAACAGTGTCTTCCATCTTATTGTTTGCTCAGCCCCCATGTTCCTGCGCCACCAGCTTCTGTTCCGATACTGAACTGACAACTGCAGCATATCACCCTCTGCAGAGGGAGAGGACGCCTTGGAGTGAACCATCTAATTCCTCTTGGGGTGGCAATCGGATAGGTTTACTGCTGGGAGTTTACCTTTCATCAGCTTCAAACTGCCGACACCTTTGTACCGTTTTTTTATTCTGTGAAGTAAAAGTGCCCCATTCACGATTCCCTGAGGTGATAATGTGTATTTATAGCAGTACCGAAGCCTAACTATTCTTCCCTGAATAGGTTTGTGATGGACATACCTAACGAGATACCGGCCTAGTTGTAAGGTTGTGTGTTTTCTCCCAAACACTGTGTGAGCTGGTCTCCAGCATGGACCCAGTAGGATTCCAATGTATCCAGCAGAGCTTGAAGTCATTGTTCGATCAGCTCTGTGAGGAATGCGCCAAGGCTGACTGACTCTGCCCTTCATCAAGATATGCAGGAATAAGGTTGCAGCATTCCCGCCGTTCTGGGTATGTCCTGAATAGTGATTCTGTATAAAAACAGGTACGTTATGTGAATTCCAGTCACAACAGGCATACGCTGGAATGTAGTATGTTAGATGTCCATGGCTATAGGAGAGAAAAGAAGTGCAGCTGCAGAGTCACCTCTGTGGCCCTGATTTGTCTTCCAAGCCATCTCTGTGGCTCCCTCAGGAGTATAGCTTGTGCAGCAGTCTCTACACCAGAGTTTGCTCTTGCTTTGCTCCCTTTCTCCTTCTCAAAGCCTCTTTCTTCCTGTAGCTCCTTTGCACTTTTTCTCCTCTCCGTCTGTCTGCCTGTGACTCTTAAGGTTCATTTCCATCTCATCTGGTACCCTATATGATTCACACAGTGTCGAAAATGTAAGCTCAGTGTGCTCCTTAATCGTACGCACACCATTGCCTGCAGCAACTTATATTGCTTCTTTCTGATCATTTCCTGTCAGCCTCCCAGGTCAAAGAATATGGCAAGCCCAGAGGATATAGACAAGTTGTTTCAGGCAAACTTACTTGTACGATCACTCAAACGAAGACTTTGCTGATTACATTAAAAGAACGTGGCAAGCGAAAGTACTGATTTTCAATTACTTCCAATATGAATCATTAGTCATCTAATGTGCTAATATTAGATTAGGTACAAGCATAATGCTGGAATTAAAAATGAATACCTCCTGAGGTTTTTCCCTAAAAGAGCATTCACATCAAACATGCAGTGCTGAGCTTTCCCCTCCACATGGTGCATTTCAGGGGTGAATGACTACCCCAAGAGAGCATCTACAGCTTTTAAAGTGAATGAGATAAGATGCTTGGTTGTTTATTTATGTATGTGTTTGCCTATTCAAACAAAAGTGCATATAGGCTGAGAGATTCATAGTGCCCGGTTGTATTCAGACCACATGACACATTTCAACTTCCCTGTTCCTGAGAAGGATGAGGAGCAGATTAAGCTTATCAGTGTGACCCAGATAGGACAACAAGTGTTGCAGAGGTTGGTCTTGTTTTATTCCACTGAGTCATGGCTGCTAAAGAAAAATGCAGACATTACAAAGAGATAGATCAGGCTCACAAAGACTTCTGGCTCCCCTGAGAATTCAGTGATAGTTGAGGGGAATCCTGTTGGGCAGATTACAGTTTCAGATCGCCTCCAGGAATACGATGCTCCAAAAATAAGAAACACCTTCCTAAGCACTACGATATATCGAATATTGCGATATCACGGTAAATAGATGTCTCAATACCGTCGTTAGACTGACAAAATTTACCGCGATTTTTTTAATTTTTTAAACCTTTATTTAACCAGATGGTCCCATTGAGATCATTGATCTCTTTTTCAAGGGAGACCTGTCTAACATGGCAACAAGTAGGTTACAACATGAACATAAAACAACAGATAACACAAAAGGACATCGTATTTATAGGGCTACATTTACACACCTAGAGACATTGACAAGTACCAACCATATATTTATATCTCGCCATGTCAATAAGCCTGGCGTTAGACTTTTTCGCTGTCCGTCATTTCGACAGACAGGATCGTAAAATATCCGTCATAATCCCTTATTACCCGTCGGGTCTGAAAAGTTCACGATAGAGCATGCTCGTGAACTGTCAACGGGGGGGGGGGCGGTGTTATGCCGTGTGTGCATGCACCTCGCGGGACGCGCACAGCGTAAAGCAAGACCTCCCAGACATGTATTGATCTGTACGGCAAAGTACGGTTTGGAAACTATATAATTTCCTTTTGGAGGGCATGCATAACACGGCATAACACCAGAGCCTGGCTNATCAGCAATATTAAAATAATAAAAGGCTTGCAATATTTCAGTTGATTTGTAATGAATCCAGAATGTATGACATTTTTGTTTTTTTAATTGCATTACAGAAAATAAAGAACTTTATCACAATATTCTAATTTTCTGAGACAGTCCTGTATGTGCACCCCTGTATATAGGAACACATTCTTGTTATAATCTGCTGGTTTGTAAAGATGCTCAAGTTTTTTCATTTTCCCTCCAGGGGAAGCTGTCTCTTCTCCTCAGCAGAATGAATGAAGTAGCCAAGGTTTTCTTGGCTACCAACAGCGACTACAAATACACAGAGGTGATTAACGGTGTTTTCAAGGATTATGATGAACTGTGCGCTCCAAATCGCTAGTCTGTTGTATCTACTCTAAACACTGCTGTGTGTGTTGTGTTCTTTCAGAAAATCATGACCTACCTGTTTGACTTCCCCCACGGCCCCAAGGTAAAACATTGCCCCCCCCCCTGCTCTTCACACTTTTTAATGTGTTGATCATGCAGATGAAGGTAGAAGACACATGTTTTGCTCTTACCTACGCGTGGCTTTACATCCTGTGTGTGTGTTGGTTTTACAGCCTGGAACCTCCCACCGGCCCTGGCAGTCCTACTTCGATCTGATCCTGGTGGACGCCAGGAAGCCGCTGTTCTTCGGAGAGGGGACGGTGCTCAGACAGGTGGACACGGTGAGCAGACACAGAGCTGAGACAGTGTTTATCGATGTGGAACGCAGAGAGTTATGGACATGTTGAAGCCTCTTTTCTAGAAATACATGACCTTTCTTAGATTGAAATTATAATATGTGTCACATTGTCTCCCATTTAGTCAGTGTCAGTTAGTTTCTTTGGTCAGTTTGCAGCCATCCTCTGCACACATCTGACACTGCTTCTTGAAAAAACGGTTTTAAAGAATGGATTTCAAATTTGTTGTCTTGACATATAGTTAAAAAATACAGCACCCAGACAAAAGTAGACAACATCTAGATGCTCGTGCTCTTATTCAGCTTCACTCGTGATTCAGATCAGAGTGGGGAAAGCTGAATTGATGTCAAAAAAACAATAATTGTCTCAAACATAAGCATGAGTCATTAGGCGCTTTCACACCGGAGTACTTTTCCCAGGAGTAGTTCCGATAGTTCACACCAAAAAGATCTGGAACTAGAACTTTTTTTCGGGAACCTTTTCAGTCCCTGCTAGAGAGGTGGTTCTTTCCTGGGGAGGAAAAGGTTCCAATTTCTGATTGGCTGGGCGAATTGCAAACCGCGCCCTGTGAAACTCCGAAAAGTTTTGTGAAGCCGCCATTTTATTTGCTCGCATTAGCATTATTAGCATTAGCCCAGCGCACCAACGGAGAGAGACTAACTTACTGTATGGCAACACAAAATAAAACGTGGGAGCGGTGGAGTGATGAGGAGGTGTCTGCACTTCTGGTGATTTACCCGGGACTTCGGGTGGCAGTATACGCCCTGAAGTTGTTTGCGGCTTGCCAGTAAACCCAAAGCAGAAGAAGTGACGTCAGTGGCTTCATTTGCGTAATGCTCCCTCAGGGACTTATTCCGGTGTGAACGCGATCAACTAAAGAGTTCCGGGGAACTAAGTTCCGGGAACGATTCCTGGGAAAGGTACTTGGTGTGAGCGCCTATTATGAGTTGTCTTTGTTTTCCCGTTACTTTCTAAACAATCTGATAAATTGTAGTCGTTTGCAGATAGGTTGGATTCTACAAATAAGGACATATGTTCTCTTTGAGCTAACAATTAGCATGAATGACATGGGGAACAACTACAGAGTTTGTAGTTACGAAAAAAGGAAACGTGTATATACTTGATGCATCTTCAAATCTGTTAAGGTGTAAAATGTAGTTTTAGCATGTGGCTTTATTCAGGCCAGAGTGTTTCACCTCTCTGATTGCGCGAAGGCCTTTCTAACCAATCGGATGTTGTGTTCTTTATTTCAGATAACAGGGCGTTTAAAGATTGGAACCTACACTGGACCTCTGCAGCACGGCATCGTCTACTCTGGAGGTTTGATTATTGTCTACCAGTCTTCCATTTTTTGACCTTGTGTTAGTTTTGTTAGATAGGCAAGGCAAGTTTATTTATACAGCACCTTTCAACACAAGGCAATTTAAAGTGCTTTACAAAAATGAAAGACATTAAGAGAATTAAGAAATAGTGCAGAAGAAACACATTGTAAAATGGGATTTTAAAACACTAATGTAAAAGCAAAGATAGACACAGGTATCTACAGGTACAGGTATTTTAAACTCCTTCTACTCCAGGTTCCTCGGACATTGTGTGCGACCTGCTGGGGGCCAAGGGGAAGGACATCGTGTACATCGGGGACCACATCTTCGGAGACATCCTCAAGTCCAAGAAGCGCCAAGGCTGGAGGACGTTCTTGGTGATCCCTGAGCTCGCCCAGGAGCTGCACGTGTGGACCGACAAGAGCTGTGAGTCTGAAGGCAAACACGTAAACACGGGCCCTAACACACGTGTGTAGTGACATTTAGAAATACTATCTTGACCGCATATACTAGAGATGCCCCCAAATATCAGCTGCTGAGCGGATTTTTGTCAAATTGACATACATGCACAATTGTTTACATCATGCACATAGAGACATTATGGCCTGTAAAAAAGCCACAAGCCACATTTTGAGCAAAAATATCATATTCTAAATCATATAAAGTAACTGTAGTGACTGGCTCTTCTGCCAACAGCGGGGGGTCTCTCCCCCTCATCTTGCTGTGTGTGCAGTCAGTGGGTGTGGGGCAGGCAGAAGGACAACGCTTGCTGCAGGAGTGGGAGTTAATATAATTTAATAAACACCTTTTCATTCTTTTAAATGAATTATAAAATTTATTTTACATATTTTTAAATGTATAACATGTGTCTCTTTGTTGTTATTTCTTATGTATTATTATGAGCACACAGATTTTTTTCAAAAATTACAAAAATATTCATGTTGTAAATAATATTGTGTAGAAAGAAGAAAACAAGACAGAATGTCCCACTTGAAAGACATTTTATCAGACAAGAAAAGTGAGCCGGTGCACCTCTACTATGTACAGTGGGGAAAAAAAGTATTTAGTCAGCCACCAATTGTGCAAGTTCTCCCACTTAAAAAGATGAGAGGCCTGTAATTTTCATCCTAGGTATACCTCAACTATGAGAGACAAAAAAATCCAGAAAATCACATTGTCTGATTTTTAAAGAATTTTTTGAAAATTATGGTGGAAAATAAGTATTTGGTCAATAACAAAAAAACAAGATTTCTGGCTCTCACAGACCTGTAACTTCTTCTTTAAGAGCCTCCTCTGTCCTCCACTTGTTAACTGTATTAATGGCACCTGTTTGAACTCATTATCAGTATAAAAGACACCTGTCCACAACCTCAAACAGTCACACTCCAAACTCCACTATGGCCAAGACCAAAGAGCTGTCAAAGGACACCCGAAACAAAATTGTAGACCTGCACCAGGCTGGGAAGACTGAATCTGCAATAGGTAAGCAGCTTGGTGTGAAGAAATCAACAGTGGGAGCAATTATTAGAAAATGTCAGACATACAAGACCATTGATAATCTCCCTCGATCTGGGGCTCCACGCGAGATCTCACCCCGTGGGGTCAAAATGATCACAAGAACGATGAACAAAAATCCCAGAACCACATGGGGGGACCTAGTCAATGACCTGCAGAGAGCTGGGACCAAAGTAACAAAGGCTACCATCAGTAACACACTACGCCGCCAGGGACNTCCACATGTACCAGCCATTGTTAACCAATCAGAAGTAGCCCATGATAGAAGGTGTCAGACAGATTGATCCAATCACCAGCCAAGTATTTTTGAAAGTGCCTGCCCTTTCCAAATGGCTTCCAATGGAGCTCTCCTAGATGGTCAGGTTAGTAATGAATCTGAGTCAGGTTAGTAATGCTCCATCACATGTTTTACATCTATTACAGGGTGAATCTTAAACTGAAGCTTGACTTTAACGCAACCCAATGGAAGTTTCATGTAAGTTTAGTTCTATCACTCGTAGCTCTGGCTGCAGGGGTGCTAGAGACGGGAGTACGTTGATACGACCTTCCTAGCCGGAGTTATGGCCGCATTTTACAATAAACTTCCGTTGGGTCGCTTAAAAACAAATATCGCAAATCGAATCGCAATCGCAATATTTGTCAGTAAAAATCGCAATTAGATTTTTTCCAAAATCGTGCAGCCCTAATCTCAATACTTTGTTATATACCCTTTGTTGGCAAAGACAGAGGTCAAACGTTTTCTGTAAGTCTTCACAAGGTTTTCACACACTGTTGCTGGTATTTTGGCCCATTCCTCCATGCAGATCTCCTCTAGAGCAGTGATGTTTTGGGGCTGTCGCTGGGACAACACGGACTTTCAACTCCCTCCAAGGATTTTCTATTGGGTTGAGATCTGGAGACTGGCTAGGCCACTCCAGGACCTTGAAATGCTTCTTACGAAGCCACACCGTTCTTGTGATCATTTTGACCCCACGGGGTGAGATCTTGCGTGGAGCCCCAGATCGAGGGAGATTATCAGTGGTCTTGTATGTCTTCCATTTTCTATAATTTGCTCCCACAGTTGATTTCTTCACACCAAGGCTGCTTAACCTTATTGCCAGAGTCCAGTCCTCCCAGCCATGGGCAGGCTTACAATTTTTGTTTTATTTTTTGTTCCCTTTGACAGCCTTTTGGTCTTGGGCCCAT